AAAAAAAAAAACAATTGGAGGAGAAAACAAATGTGTAAACAAGGGCATCGATTTTATAGGATTTTTTTAAAAGTAAAATAATTATAGTTCATGTGATATACAAATGTGGTGATTGTACTTTCGATTTTTGATTTGCTTAGATAAATAACTAAATATTTAATGGCCGCCGTTTTTTCTCAACTAAATACAAACTTAGACATATATCTTTGGTTAACGGACCGTGCATCTGAATAAAAAATGATCTGAAAAATATTTCAACTCGACGACTATGTTCGGAATGTCATATATGCGATATGCATGGCAATAGCAAACCAATTTCGGGCTAAAACTAAAATTTAATTAGAGCCATTTTTTTGTTTTCTATAGAAATAGATAATCACTTTTGTTTATGCTTTAAAATGTGAATAAAACATGAATAAATGTTGTTTTCCCTTATGATTTATCGGTGCTTTCAGTGTCACATGTAATTGATGAGATTTATCAATTCGAAGAGTTCGATGAAACCGAACCACTTCTTGCTGACGTTGAGTCTGGATAAGCTTTGTTGACGTTGTTGTTCGTATCGCTTGTTGGCACTTTTTCCCTTGGAAAAATTACCATATAATTGTAACATCATAGTTCATCCGACGATTGTGCTGGGTATTCACGAACGTATTCTTTTGGGAAAAATCCAACCTAAAAAAATGAACCATAAATGGATTTAATGTCATGTCACTTTTCATTTTGGCATTATTCACTCTCATTCCATGTAATTAATCAGAGTATTGCTCAGCGCTGCTGCCATCCACAGCATATTAAAATATCTTGCTGAGAATGCGTCGTCCGTCGCATGCGAACGTACGTAGCAGTTTATACATCACAGCGAACAAGAATGAATCCATTGTTCTCTTCACGATTATGTGACTCAAAACATTCAAACGATTGAATAGAGCATGCATGTATTGTTGTTCGCTGTGATGTATAAACTGCTACGTACCTTCGCATGCGACGGACGACGCATTCTCAGCAAGATATTTTAATATGCTCTGGATGGCAGCAGCGCTGAGCAATACTCTGTAATTAATCATTGATATAAGCTTACCCGTTCCATTGTTTTGCCTCGCCACCAGCCTTTGCTGTCACCCTCTTTACCAATGACAAGCACCTGACAGCCTTGTCGCAATTGCAATTGATTGGGTTCTCTCGGATTAAAATCATACAATGCTGTTGCGACTACCTCACGGAATGGCCACGATAAAGATTGATTTAATCTAAAACAAAACCAACATTAGACAAACAATGATATAGAAAAACCCCCGCATGTAATTCGAAACTAACCCGGCAAAATTTTCACCCAAATCATTGCGTTCATAAAATGAAACCAGTTCAACGATACTTTTGAATAAACGTCGTGCCGATAAATAGTAAAGCGTATTATTTTGTTCAACTTTTTGGTTGATTTTCATGTGCTTGATTGTATGTTCATCGGTTCTGTGAACGAAATTCATAAATAAAATTGAGCGTCAAACGTTAGATCAAATATTTAATACAAGTATAAGAGAACTTACTTCAAACTGAGCGCATACATGGTTTCATTTGTACTCGAAGCACCTTGTGGTCGAACACGCAATAAATATGTTCCAACTTTACGATTTTCCAATTTAACTGATGCTGTGTCCCGTGACATCGGCCCAACAAACCAATAAAATTCAGATAATTGACGATCACAAACAGGTGGTGCTAATGCTCCAATGGCTTCCTGTTTACATCGGCCGGTCGATGATATACATCCCTTATGTACGGACACCTCACACTTCATACATTTATACCCCTGATGAATTAATCCTTTCAAAAATTTCGAACAGTGACGGCACATCGTAGGCGTTTCAAATGTCGTCAATTGAAATGTATGGTCGGTATTTCGACAACCGATCGGCTCAAGATTGTCCCTGAAAGTGTGAAAAATAGCACATTTATCAATACAACCCATAATGTTAATGGAAAATTAGAAAGAAAAAAATATTTACATGGCATTTTGAAGGGCATTCATCCATTTATCTCGTTCGGCTTCGGTTTTCATATACAATGTGAATGCGGTTGTTTGTGATTTGCGAGCTAATAGCAATGTAAAACGTGCGTCACGACTTAGAGTTGCTTTTGAACGATGCTTCAAGGATGTTTCCACACGATAATCATATAAATTGTACGCATCAAGAAACGAATACAGTCCATTCTCGCCCAGCTTTGACGCTTTCACCAATAGCATAATTTTCTCGAAAATGAACGCATAACGATGCTTGGTTTTTTGGTCTTCGTGTGATTTAATGCTGAGTTCTCCATCCAACAAAAAACGTCCATATTGACGTAAATCATTTCCATTGGGTAAATTTAAGTCGAATATTCGTTCCTAGATGACGAAGAAGAATTATGCTTGAATGTTTTGCGGTTTGACGGCTGAAAGTTTCGAAGATTAATTACATCAGATAATACACTTACTCGTATTTTTTGTATAATATCCAAATGCTCCGAGTCTCTCTTCACTTCGTTTATATATTGAGCAACATCAACCATTGCCTCTTTTGCTCGCTCCAGCCCACGATAATCTTCATGTGTCTACAAGTATTGCATTAAATTCGTATTAAATTGAAATATCATCGATGAAATAAAATTCTGGTTTTTCGTTCACATACCGGTGATGTTTCTTCAACTAATTTGCCAAGCAAAAGATGATATTTGAGAATACGTTGCATTGGCACCGATAAAATGTCACGCAATTGATTTTTTCCACCGCTATGCAGTTTTTGGCTTTGCTCCATACATTGTTCAACGGCTGGATTACTTTTGCACACTGCAGACAATGTATCAATAGCAGCTGTCATGCTGGCACAATACTCTCCATAGATAAGAAACGGTTCTCGAAAATCCAAAAACACTTGGCTTAATTTATTTTTTGAATTCAATGAAATTGCATCTTTCAGTCGTTCGAGGAATTTCGCATGAATATCAGCCAATTCCTATGAAATGCATAAAAGCGAAATTAAATTTTGATGTACCGAGACGTTCAACTGAACATCTATTATGCAAACATGAATGAGTACCTTTATTTTCGGATATATCGTCTTCAATTCATCGCGGCTCAGCAGCTTTTCCATTGGTTCCATAAATTGTTTCTTTAATGCTTGCAATACTTCAAAGTAATTGCTTTCCGTGTCGATTAATTCACGTATGACAAAATCTCGTTGTTCATAGTTTGATGTGGATGCCGTTAGCTACCGTATTGTTATTACAGAAAATAATTAGTTAAATTGTAAGAGTATACAATGTGCGATGCGAAGGATTCATCGCAAGCAACTTGATTTTTATCGCACATAAAACCACCGAGCCAATATGCAACAAAATAGAATTCAATTAGTGCATGCAAAAGGAATGAACGGAATCTCAGAAAACATTGTTCGCAACTAGAGGTGCCCACTGAACCGAACTGAACAGTTTATGTTCGAAAAATATTATATTTTCATGTTCGTGTTCGTTCGGGTTCGGTTCAAGTTGATCGCAAAAAAAAATATTGCAATCATATTCGTTCACGTTCGGTTTACGTTCGGTTCACGTTCATTTTAACTGTTCAAAACTGTAAACTTCAAAAGATGGTTGTTGGCCCTTAGGAAAATTTAAAAAAATTCAAAGCCTTAAAACCTCATTAGATTTTTTTTCCCAAAATATCAATAAAAGTGGCAACCAAATGCAAACTTTAAACACTTTCAACATATTTCAAAATATCTTAATATTTCCCGAATATCAGGTAGTAATTCATTTAAAAGTTATTAAATTAGAAATATCGTTGAGAGATAAAAATTTTCACCGGTAGATTTTCGATTTCAAAATTTCTTATATATTGCGGGACTATGGAAGTGATTCATTTTATGAAAACTTTAAACAGATTCATTTTTAAAAATAAATTGTGGTACAATTAAGTACATTTTTACTGTGTTAATAATTTTGTTATATTCATTCTCATATTTCAAAATATATCCATTTTTAAAACTATGCAATTTATATTCATTTTGAATTTTCGAGAAAAAAAAAATTGAAATCGATTTTGCATGAAAAATCAAAATGAATAAATATTGCATAATTGATTGGATATATTTTAAGATATGACAATGAATTCAACAAAACCCTTTACACAGCAAAAATGAATCCGTTTAAGATTTTCATAAAATAAATTGCACATATAACACGATAACGATATATGAGAAATTTTGAAATCAAAATTATACCGATGAATTTTTTTTGCTTTTTTTTTATCAAAAATATTACGATTAAAACGGTTTTAATATAGTTATTTTCGCTATTTAAATTCACTCAAATCATAAAGCTACGGAAAGCAACTCGACTTCACATTTTCATAAAAAATTCCCGTTCGTAAGGCAACGTGTTGAAGAACATTTTTTCGATTAAAATTTAAAATTGAAAAGTTATTGGTTTTAAAATTTTAGTGAAGTTAAATGGCACTATTTATAAACACAAAAAAAACTATTAAAATATTTAAATTACAAAAAATAAAAGTTTTCATCTGTAAGTTTCTAACAATCAAAAAGAATACATTTGAATATTTTCAGCAGTTATTAATTCCTTCAATTGAATTCTTTAGAATAAAACCATATTAAATAGTTGCATATCAAAGCGAAGGAAGATGTTTTTACAGATACAGATTAATTGTTGTAATTCATACAAAATAAAACATCAAATCTATGTAGAAAAATACGCTTTGTTTCGCTCTGATAAGTAACTATTTATATTCGGTTTTTATTCTCGAGAATTCAACTGAACAGTTCTCGTTTGTTCAGGTTCGTTCGAAATAAAAAAAATCTGTTCATGTTCATTCGCGTTTAGTTCAAATTGTTCAAAATATGTAAAAATGCCGTTCATATTCGGTTCATATTCGGTTCAAATTCGAATGAACCGAACGAACATGAACGGTTCAGTTCAGTGGGCACCTCTAGCATGGCTCCGATACAAATTCCCATCTTTAGTAGTTTTTGTAAGAAAAGTGCTAAAAAAATTATTTTTATCTAAAACTAATGTCAGATTTAGTTTTCTCGTGAATTATTTGAGTAAAAGATTTGTAATAAAAGCATGTCGTGGATCACAGTGCGGAAAAGTTCATCTTACGGATGTAAG